TGGGGTGGCCCCCACTTATGTGGGAGGTCATCCCATTATGTCCCGGTGTGTATAATCGGCCCTGAAAGTTGTATTTTTCGGACTATTTTAGTCATATTTCATTTTATCGGGCCAAATAAAATATATCACGTGATTCTAATAATTTTTGGGCCTTTAGAATAGATGTACATTCCCCAACATTAATTTAGAAGCCTCCGAAACTCATTTCGGGCTGTTATCCGTTAAATTACCAATACCGGTAATTGGGTCCCGTTTGACCAACCGGTCAACTCCATGCCTTTCTTATGGCCCAAATAAAATATCCACCACCATATACATATTATCTAGACCAAGATGAATATAATATGTGGTTCGGGAATTATCGGGCGGTCCCCGTTCCCGCTGTGGGCCCCACATGCAATTTACTATTCACGTAAAAGAAATAGTAAAAATTTACAATCACGCAATTTCTTAAATCATTCTTCAAGGTTTATTACATAATTTACTAAAAGTAAATATGCTCGGGGTCGGTGTTACAATTACTGCTATTAAAAATTATATTCTTGCCACTTTCGTAGCCAAACCTTATATCACGAAAGGTCCTAGCCCACTCTTTATTATCTAGACCATTACTTCTAGGAAAAACACAAATCATGTCACAAATTACTGGGTAGTCAATCTTGTCTTACGTACTCTTGCTAACAGTCGGACATGCAACATCAGGCTTATTAGAGTTGATAAGGGCAATTACATTGCGCACCACACCAGATTAATACCCACAACAATAGTAATATAGCCTTATGTGAAATTATTATTTCTATTATCCCCCATTTAGAGAGGCTAAACTTACTCAATGTTGTTTTTGAGGTTAAAATTCAGGAGATCTATGAATCTATGATGGAATCATAGGCATGGACGGATCTGGTATAGGGTCAAGGAGGGCCCAGGCCCACCCTAAAAAAAGTAGTTTTTTTAGAGGGAGGGGGTGCGCTCCTGGGGTCAGGGGTCAAGGGTTGGGGGTCCTAGTGGGAGGGAATACAAGAGCTCAAACTGCTCTCGGTGGGAATTGAACTCCTGACCTTCAGGATAATCGGATGACTCCACAACCAACTAAGCTAGTTGCTTCGTCAGAACTAGTGTGTGTGTGTGTGTGTGTGTGTGTGTGTGTATATATATAGGTACAAGTGAGAATATCATCTTATGAGAGAAATAAGAATAAATGAGTGCCCTTGGATTGAACTAGTATTTAAATTTAAAAAACATTACGTATAAGGCTACAAAGGTCAATTTGATTTCTTTCCTTCTAAATCATGTGTGTGCTAGGAATTAGCATCCATCCTTTCCTCTTTTTTTGGCTTCCCATAATTGTTTCCATCTTTGTAGGGTTGTCTATAATTCATCTCCCAAGGGTTTGCTAAATCATGTGTGTGCTAGGAATTAGCATCCATCCTAAATCATGAATGAGGAAGATGAAGATATTAGGTTTCGAAATCCTTATATACGCGAGGACACAAGGGTTTGGGCCTTGCGAGAAAAAAGTTGAGCCCGAAACCAGAGCTTGGCCAATATCCCCCCCCCCCCCCCTTTTTTTTAAATGTGTTAAGACCCAATCCGGAAAAAAGAGCTTCCCCTCGAAAAGTGCATAGATGAAACAGAATAAAAAAAAAGAAAGAAAACAAATTATGCAACACACGCACACTATTTTTGTGATTTTCTCTCCTTTCTCCCCCTGGATGAATGCAACTCACACAATGAAAAAAAATGCAACTCACACACACTATTTTTGTATTTTTCTGGGTTTTCTCCCCCTCAATACATGCAACGCACACTGTGCACAGATGCAACTCACACAGACTCTTTTTGATATTTTTCTGGGTTTTCTGAGAGCTTATCATTCGGTACAAGTTCACGGTATATCAAAGAAGGGTTTCATCGATCTTCATCTTGTTTATCATTCTGTGATTCTCATCTTTGTTATATCCATATATTGCCGTTAGATTACCTAAAACAGGGACCAACATATATACATACATACATACATACATACATATATATATATATGTATATATATATATATATATCGATGAAACCCTTCTTTATATATATATATATGTAGATATATATATATATATATATATGTAGATATATATATATATATATATATTTATATATATATATATATAAATTTATATATTAATACATAGTGTTCAGTAGATTTATATAAGGGAGTTTCCGAAATATGACTAAAAACAGTTTGGCAATTCCAAAATAGAACTGCATGTTTTTTATTTCCAAAATAAGACTAATTACTGCCATCTTTAGAAAATACTGCCGTGTTTGAAGTTTGGTACTACCAAAACATGGCGGTAATTAGTTCTATTTTGGGAATAAAAACGGGAAAATTCCCGAAATATGAGTAAAAAAACTTGAAAATTCCAAAATAGGACTGCCATGTTTTTATTCCCAAAATAGGAGTAATTAGTGCCAAGTTTGGAAAATGCTGCCATGTTTAAAGTCTGGTACTGCCAAAACATGGCAGTAATTAGTCCTATTTTGGGAATAAAAACATGAAAGTCCTATTTTGGAATATAAAAACGTTTTTAGTCCTATTTTGGGTGATTATGGCAATCCTATTTTCAATTTTCAAACTGTATTAGTCCTATTTCGGGTAATATTCTCTTTATATAATATCAACTAACGTGGAATTATAAACACTTGTGAAGTTGGCGTCATGGTAGAAGACCCACCGTGTATTGCATACGGTGGTGAGTTCAAACCTACTACATTGCACTTTTTATAAATTATTAGTGTAACACTACCAATATTTCACACGTAGTGTTTTAATTTTTTCAATTCTTGTTTCCAAAATTTATTAATTCATTTCATTTGAGTTTTGAATATTAGTTTGAAAAATTAATTAGTTCAATAGACTTTGAATATTCACTTGAAAAATTAATCACATCAATTCATTGCGTTTCGTTGGTGAAATTTAATTAATTATTTTTTTTACACAGAGAATAACTATAGAGTCAAAAGAAAATTAGTTTTCGAGAAATTGACTTGAAAATTTGTATTGAACATTTCACTAACTGAGCAAATTTCAGTTCGGCATCTATGACTTTTAAGATAATTAAATTGTGGGTTCTGTATTATTTATTTTTTTCTTTGACATTTCTGTAATATGTAGTACATAGAATTATTCAACTACATTTTATCATTTTGACAATTTTTGCAATAAACATTATTTTATTAAATTTTGGCTCACCCTCAATGCAAATGCTAAATCCGCCCCCTGATCATAAGTCATACCCTTGGCATTGGAAGTTCTGATCGAGAATACGAACCATAAAAACAAAGATCAAGAAGCTCAACTGGAGCATAAAGATCATTGAATCTCGAATCAACGGGGCTGCGGAATTTTTGGCTTACCATAGCATCTCGATTAAAACCAATGTTCATCATATTAATCAATTTGTTGGCATACTTAAATTTGACGCAATTAGTTACCCTTGTGTTTAATTTTGAGTAGGCATCGACCTAGTCCCCCTACTTGTATTTTCCCATTTTCAAATAAAATGTGAGGTGTTCCCCGGCCCTCGCCCCAAAACCTCGGTTTTGGTCCCTTACCGGTTTCACAAAAAAAATTAAATAAGTTTTATTTTTAGTAATATTTTTGAAAAATCATTTTGTATTTTTTTAAAAGGAAAAAACCGTTTGTATTAGACACTTAAAATCTAAAACTTGACCGTAGGTGGAGTAGTATTTCTGTGCTTTTAAATGATTTTTACTTTTTTATTTAACAAAAAACATTTATTTACCAAAACACAATCTAACTTCTACTTTTTTAGAAAAATACTCCCTCCGTTCCGTAGAAAAATTCCTACTTTCTTTTTTTTGGACGCCCCATACAAAGGTTATCATTTCTGTTTTAGGAAACAATTTACAATCTTAAATGATAATTTAATTATGAAAAAATTCCACTTTTGGTCCCATGACTATTATACCACTTCCACATTTAGTCCCTTACTTTAGATTGTCCACATTTAGTTCGTGATCATTATCCCCTCACCAGCTCTCGTCCTTTTGGCCAAAATTCTGACAAATTTAGTCCACTTATCAGCATCAGAATTAGTCTTTGCATTAAATTTTATATAAGGTTGGGTTTTTCATACCGGTCTTTGCATTAAATTTGGTTTTTCATACCTAAATTCTGCATTAAATTTGCCGGAATTTTAGCCGGAAGGAGGAGGGGTGGTGAGGGGATGGTCACGGACTAAATGTGGACAATCTGAAAGTAAAGGACTAAATGTGGAAGTGGTATAATAGTCACGGGACCAAAAATGGAATTTTTTCATTTAATTATTAAATATCGAAAATAATATATTAATACCATCACAGTTATCAATACTAACCCCATTATATTACATACCTATTAAAATTATTTCCCAAAATATACTTGATAGAGTATATAGACTCGGACCCCCGGGTCTCACGACTATTGGACCCGGACAGCGGCCCACATACGCTCAGTAGATAACATTTATTTCATTGTACACTCTATTTTATTCATGTATACCCGTTAGAATAGTGATGGAGTATATGGGTCTGAGCCCCAGGACCCACATACTCAGAAGAGCAGCAAACACAAGGCACCGAGTGGCGCCCACGTCGGCCAAGGGACCCCCGTCGGCCGAGAAGGTGCCAACTCAGATTATGGTCCTGAAGCCAAGGAACCTGGGTGCCCTCGTCGGCCGTGCCCTCGTCGGCCGCACCCTCGTCGGCCGCGCCCTCGTCGGCCACGCCCTCGTCGGCCACGAAGACCTCACAGAACCGGATTCTACACTTACTGATTTGTACAGCCCATTAGTGGCTTTGTATTCGGCCCAGTAGCGGTCCAGTTGTAAATGGGCCTCCCAAGCCCAAGGCTTGGGAGCCCAGCCCGTATTTTCTCTATAAATACTCCCCTTGGGAGTAGTTATAGGGGTTACAAAATCATTCCATTGAAACATATTATTGCATTTCACTCTCTAGCTCTCACTTCTCTCTAGATATACTCTATCATTTGGTGCTCTCGTTGAGAGCTAGAACAATCAAGTTAGCACCCTTCGTCGCTACCAAGCACAGCTAACCACTGATCATGGGAAGAACTAAATCAAACCGCAACCTCGTCAGCAAGGCCATCCCTGAGGACCAAGAGCCCAGGGAGCACGATGAGGACGCCACGGCCGACCAGGTCGGCGGGGGGGACGTCTTCCAGGAGGCCTTCAACCTCACGGCGGACCTCCGCAACCAACTCAACGGCGGAGCCCCTGACGCCCGCATCGGCTTGGACAAGAAACGAGCTGAGAAGTCGGTCATCATCGCCAGCCTGGCTCAGAACCCCACCGTCCTCAGCGCACTCTTGCCAAGGACCGGGGGGAACGTCACTCCACCTCCTCAGCCCCAACCGTTGGCCGTCCAGATAGGCAACTATGAGGGGGTGGTGGCCCAGGACACGGCGTCGTCCCACTCCCACCCTGCTTCCCCTCTTCGGCCTGGGCAGACCCCAGCGCGTGGAAAAGCCTCTGCCTTCAACAGGCTAGGCGACACGCGCCGTCGTCCGGTTTCGGAGAGGATGGCAGGACGGATTGGTGAGCCTCGTCCTGGCTCGCCGAGGGAAAGCTTGGGGTCTGTGTCCCGGACAGCAGACCAGCCCCGCCCGGACAAGGGCAAGGGGAAGTTGCACGAAGACGACGTGCGCCACCGGATCAATGCGGCTCACGACGAGCGCATGAGGAACCAGCCGGGCGCCGCTGCGGCCGCCAGGGACCCCCGGGATGAAGTCATTGCCCAGCTAGAAAGGAGGCTGGCTCAAATGGAGGCCAAGCAGTCGGCCAACATCCCTACGACCGGCGCCTCCAACGACCCCGGCCTCAACGCGCTCATGAACAAGGTCAGCGCCCTGGAGAGGGAGTTGATCGAGGGGCGAGGTGACCCCATCATCCAGGTCAGGACCAGGACCCCTTTCACCAACAGGGTCCTCTCGGCCCCCATCCCGGAGAAGTACAGGGGAAACGCCATCAAGTCCTACGACGGCCGATCAGACCCCCAGGAACACTTCAGCCGTTATCAGAACAACATGCTGATGGTGAACGCGTCAGACGAATACCTCTGTCGTTGGTTCCTCTCTACTCTCGAGGGGCCAGCGTACGAGTGGTTCAACGCGCTCCCCGAAGGGAGCATCGACTCATGGCAGGATCTTGCCCAACGCTTCCTCACCCACTTTGCCGGGAGGAAGCGTGCGAAGAAGTATTTCACCCACCTCCTCTCCGTCAAGCAGCAGCATGATGAGTCCCTCTGGTCATTCATTGATCGGTGGACGAGGGAGACCGAAGAAGTCGAGGGGGCCGATGAGCGCACCCTCCTCGCCTTGTATCAGGGAGCCCTCCGCAGCTCCCCGTACGCTAGGAGCCTCATCACCGACCCTCCGAGGTCGTACGCCAAGGCGCTCCAGCGCGGAGGCTTGTATGCCGACGCCGACGAGCCCCGGGTCCGTACCCGGCCGGCCAGGGTGCCCAGGGCCGTCACGGCTCTGGTGGACAGAGTAAGAAAGATCGCCACTGGCGGCCGAGGTTGGAACGGCCGGGGGTTACCCTCACTCACCCGGTCGGCATCATCCTCGACTATGCCGAGAAGCATGGCCTCATCGAGCAGGCCCCTCGGCCGGCCGAGGAGGTCCTTGCCATCCAGCAGGGCGGCACATACTGCCGGTTCCACAAGAACTTGTCGCACAACACCGACGATTGCATCACACTGAAGAAGGCCATCGAGCGCCTTATTTGCCAGGGGGAACTCTCCCAGTTCGCTAAAGGTGGCCCACGCAAAAACACATGGGTAAACATCGGAAAACATGGGGGCGAACCCTCTGCGAAGAAGCGGGAGATTGGTAGGCTCAGCGACGACGAGGACTTCGAAGAGCCCCCGCCAAAGAAGAATCACATTCACCTCATCGTAGGTGGGAACACTGGGGGGACTCCGCCACTCAGAGAAAGAAATGGGCCCAATCCCTCTACATTGGGGAGGTATCCCACGTTCCTCCCCAGCCGAAGAAGCAGCAAACGGAGGCGATCACCTTCACCGACAAGGATTTGCCTCCGGGGACGGGATCACACAGGGACGCCCTCGTCATCTGGTGTGAGATCGGTGACTCCATCATCCACTGCACTTACATCGATACGGGGAGCTCCGTCAACGTGATGTACCTGGATACCTTCCGGCAGCTGAAGCTGGACAGAGCCCTGCTAAAGCCGATCAAGACACTGTTATCCGGCTTCACCGGGGACTCTATCGACGCCGAGGGAACGATAGTCCTCCCCGTGGAGGTCGGTGACGGCCCCCACCGCACCAGGATTGACATGGAGTTCATGGTGGTCAACCTCCAGTGCGCCCACAACCTGATCTTGGGCCGGCCAGCGCTGGAGGACTTGGAGGCCATCATCTCCATGAAGCACTTGTGCCTAAAGTTCCCCACCAATGACGGCATCGGCTACGCCAGAGGAAACCAGAGGATTGCCAGAGCATGCTACCTCAAGCTAACAAGGCCGACCGAAAGGGAAGGACAGAGGATAGACACCATCACGGCAGCCGTTGCCAAGGATGAGGAGAGGCCGCATGCCGAACCGGCCGAGGAGGTCGAGGATGTCCCTCTGAATACCTCCCGGCCGGAGCGGGTCCTCAGAATCGGGAAGCAGCTCCCTCAGGACCAACGAGATGCCATCCTCCTCGTCCTGCGGTCATACGCCGTTGTCTTCGCGTGGGGCCCGGACGACATGCCAGGCATCAGCCGCCAGGTGATTACTCACCGGCTGACCGTCGATCCGGCCTCCACGCCCGTCAAGCATAAGCGGCGCTACTTGTCCGCCGACAGGCGGGACTTCGTCAAAGGGGAGGTCGCCATGCTCCTCTCAATCAAACACATTAAAGAGGTGAAGTACCCGACGTGACTGGCCAACGTCGTCCTCGCCCAGAAACCGCCAACATTCAGGATGTGTGTTGATTACACTGACCTGAACAAGGCGTGCCCCATGGACCCGTTCCCTCTCCCCAACATTGATCAGCTGGTGGACGAGACGGCGGGGTGCGAGTTGATGTCGTTCCTTGACGCTTTCAGAGGGTACCACCAAATCTCCATGCATGAAGATGACCCCAGAGGGAATCTTTTGCTACCTCGTCATGGCCTTCAGACTCAAAAACTCTGGCGCCACCTATACTAGGATGGTGGCCAAGATCTTCAGGGCGGTCCTTGGCCGGACGATGGAGGCATACGTCGACGATATGATCGTCAAGAGCAGGCAGGCCACCTCCCACGCCGACGACCTCCGGGAAATCTTTGAAATCATGAAGGAGTTCAGGCTCCGCCTCAACCCCAAGAAGTGCGCCTTCGGCGTCCAGGGCGGCAAGTTCCTCGGCTACATGGTCAGCCGAAGAGGCATCGGGATAAACCCGGAGAAGACACATGCTATCATCAACATGGAGCCGCCCCGCAACGTCAAGGAAGTACAACGACTGACGGGGCGCCTGGCGGCCCTGAACCGGTTCCTCTCCAGGTCAGCCGAGAGGGCACTTCCCTTCTTTCAGATCATGCGTGAAGCCAACAGCTTCAAGTGGACGACGGAGTGCCAGGAAGCATTCGAAAAGTTGAAGAGGTACCTATCGTCCCCGCCCGTACTCTCCAAACCCAAAGCCGGCGAAACCCTCTTCTTATACTTAGGGATGAGCACGTCAGCCATCAGCTCCGTGCTCATCCGTGAGGACGAAGGGGTGCAAAAGGCCATTTTCTACATCAGCAAGACACTCAGGGAGGCCGAGCTCAGGTACTCCCCCATTGAGAAGACAGTGCTGGCCATCGTCCATACGGTGAAGAAGCTGGGACACTACTTCTAGGCCCATGTCGTCCATGTGCTGACCCAACAACCTCTCGGCGCACTCATCAGGAGCCCGACCAGCTCCTCTAGGATGGTGAAATGGGCAATCTTCCTCAGCCAATTTCAAATTGAGATCAAGCCAAGGCCATCTATCAAAGGGCAAGCCTTGGCCGACTTCGTCACTGAATGCACAGCAAGGGAGACAGCCGTCGCCGACCCCGGGCCGGAGCCGGACAATACATGGATCCTATTCGCTGACGGCTCGTCGGCCGCGAAATCATGCGGTGGCGGCGTCGTCCTCATATCCCCTGAAGGATTCAGAGCTTACTATGCCATCCGCTTCAACTTCAGGGTATCCAACAACGAAGCCGAGTATGAAGCCCTTCCTCGGCGGTCTCAGACTCGCCGCCGGCCTCAACGCCAAGCACCTCAAAATCAAGTGCGACTCCAAACTGGTAGTGGGCCAGGTGGAGGGATCGTACGAAGCAAAGGAGGGACGGATGCGACAGTACAAACAGGCAGCAGAGGAGTTGCTGAAGGCGTTTGAAACCCACGAGATCACTCAGATCCCAAGGGCCGAGAACGCCGAAGCCGACACCCTCTCCAAGCTCAGCTCAGACACCCCAGAGCACATCTCCAGGATAGCCAACATCGAAGAGCTGAGCATGTCTAGCATTCATGCCAGCCCCATCTTATGCATCCAACAGCGACCAGAGGACTGGATCTCCGACATCGTCACCTTCATCACAGCGGGTCAGCTACCCCCGAACGAGGAGAGGGCCAAACTTGCCAAACTTAGGGCCCCAAGCTACACCATTGAAGATGGCAAACTCTACAAGCGATCCTATAACGGCACTCTCCTCCGATGCCTACACCAGGATGGGGCCGACATGGCCATGGAAGAAGTTCATTGTGGTGTCTGCTCCTCGCACCAGGGCCCTTTCAGCATGTCCCGACGTCTCGTCGTCCAGGGCTTCTTCTGGCCGACGATGGCGCGAGACTGTGCGGACCTGGCCAGGAAGTGTACCACGTGCCAGGTGCTTCAGAAGGACCCTGGTCGGCCAGCCGTCAACTACGCCCACGTCAGCACCGCAATTCCATTCTCTAGATGGGGGATTGACCTGGTCGGCCCCCTGCCCAGAGCCGCCGGGAACAACCGCTACATCATCGTCGCCGTCGACTACTTCACCAAGTGGGTCGAGGCGGAACCCCTGGCCAGCATCACGGGGGCCAGATGCCAAAAATTTGTTTACAAAAACATCATCACACGCTTCGGCGTCCCCCAGGAGATTATATCAGACAACGGCACCCAATTCGAGGCAGCCCCTTTTCAGGAGCTCCTCCGGGAGTTTGGGGTGAAACATCGTTTCTCCTCCGTTGCCTACCCTCAGGGCAACGGGCAGGTCGAGAACGCCAACAGAACAATCATGGAGGGGCTGAAGAAAAAACTCCAGGCCGCAAGAGGTAGTTGGGTCGACGAGCTCCCCAACATCCTGTGGTGCTACAGAACCACATCAAGGAGGGCGACAGGTGAAACGCCTTTCGCCCTATGCTACGGCTTTGAGGCAAAGGCGCCCACGGAAGTTGCCATCCCCAGCCGACGGGTGGAACAATACGAGCCTGACTCCAACGAAGAAAACATGAAGATTTACCTGCACCTGGTCGATGAGAGGCGTGAGCAAGCTTACGTCCGAGCAGAGAACTACCGGCGTCAAGTAAAATCATACTATGACGCCAAGGTACGTTCCTGGGAATTCCAGGTGGGGGACTACGTCCTCCGCAGAAGGGAAGCAAGCCAGCCGACAGAGGGTGGCAAGCTAGCATTGAAGTACGAAGGGCCCTACATCGTCAGTGCCGTGGTCAAACCCGGCACCTACAAGCTTAAACGCCCGAATGGGTCCAATGTACCACGAACGTGGAATGTACACCATTTGGTGAAGTTTTATCAGTAATCCGAAGGAGGTGCAGACGGCGAAGCCCTCACCCCTTAACGGGTTACTGATTGAACACCACCCTCGGCCTCGAGCCACTTATGAATAAAATCATGTTCCTCTTGATTTTTTCTCTGGAATTTAAAGTAAAAGCATTAGCAGGTGCCCTCATCGGCCACCTTAGAGCGAAAGGCTCAGGCATGGCCGACGTGGCCCCTTGCATTTGTAGCCTGCGATCGATAAGATCAGGCGTTCCATTGTATTTTGTATCAGTGAAGGGCTCAGGCCTAGCTGAGAGAGCACATCGTCCTGGCCCCGTAAGCCTAGAAGTGAAACGCTCAGGTATGGCCGTCGATGTCCCCAGGACGAGGGGCCCGCAAACGGCCCACGTCTTGAAACGGGAAGCTCACCGCGTCGTCCACACGCCAGATCGCAGGACGACAGGCCTGAAATCATGGCCGAGGTGACAAAATCCCAAAACTCGGGGATGGGCAACGACAGCCGTTGGAAACCGACCAAAAGTCTAGCCCGCGTCATAAATAGGCGACGGGACCCGCCCTGAGATCACAGACGTTATAAACGAAGTCCGAACCGGCCAAAGGACGAGCACACTCTTCGGCCGAAGCCTGAAAGAAGGATACTCCCCGAAAAAGGGGACGGAAACAAAAAAAAAAGAAAAAAAAGAGGGAAGCAGATGGCCGTGCGCACTAGCCAGCCTCGAGCAATGAAAAAAATAAAATCCCCACAATTCAGCCCCAACTTGGCCAAGTACATATCAGTTGAACACAAGTGTAGTACCACTAACAGGTGACATGGACGATACGTCCACACACCACAAGGGAATGGTCAAGGCCGAAGCATACGCCTATAAAACCGTAACCGAATCGGTTGGGTGACACGCGAGAGGTAACCTTCATCAGCGACAGCCCTTTGAAGCACCAACGCTTGGTATGAAATAAAACACTTACGATCCTGAAGGATGACGAGGACGAAGCAGGCACTTATCACACCCGCGGAAGAATCAAGCAATCAAGAAACAATCCCTACTGGGCACAGCATCCCGGATGGCCGATACAGGCACTGAAACCCAGGCTGTTGGTCAAGCGAAAGTTCTTTGGGGATTTGTCCAAGTGTTTACCAAACACTTAGAGAAAATTCTGAGAAAAAAGGTTCCTCAAGAAGGAACTATGTCTTAGCAGATGAAGGTAGGGCCATCTCTTTGGGAAAGCAAGGGGCACCCTCATCAGCCACAAGCCAGACCTTGGCCGACGAAGGTAGGGCCATCTCTTAGCCGGCAGCGGTACCGCAAAGAAGGAACTATGTCTCACATTTATACTTAGAAAAATCTCTAAGTACTTAAATGGAGAAACTCTAGACGAAGCGGGTACCTGTATACTCGAAGGCCGTTAGCTACCTACGCCTTGCATGTGTACTTACAAAAAATCCTATGTTCAAAAAAAAACTAAGTTCAAAGTACCCTTATCGGCCACAACACAAGGATCCAAGCCGACCTTCCTGATCAGATCAGGAACGAGGGAACACGACGGTCATGAAAAACACTGGGCCGACAACGCCATTGGTTCAGCACTTGGGGAATTTCCCAAATCATTGGTCAACGCTAAGAGAGATTCAGTACCAGGACGATGAGAACACCCATTCACTTGAAGTTAGACACTTAGAAAATTCTAACAAAAAAGAAGAATGGGACAACGCCAGGACGCAGCGGACACCCCATCTTGCCCGCCTCAGTCAGGACGGAAAGAAAGACACTAGGACATATCCTATCTAAGTGGATCTAAAACACTTAGAAATTTTTTGAATAAATTCAAAGTGTTACAACAGCGAAGAAAGACCGGACAGGCCGACCAGGCCACCAGACTGAATGGCCTACCTCACGGACGTAGCCGACACGCGTGGGTGACCTAAGTTGTAACTTTTACACTTAGACAAATTTCGAAACTGAAATAGCAAAAGGGAACGAAACATACAAGACATACAAAGCCGAGCAGAACAGCAAGATGATTCATTCATAAACAATTAAGTACAATGGTGGGCGCTTCGGCCATTACATCAAGTGGGCAAAAATAGAAAATTAATTACAAGATAGGGAGCGAGGAGTAGCCGACCAAGTCTCTTGGGCGCCTCCACCCTCGACTGGCTCTTCGACATCTTCGCCTCCCTCCTCGGCCTCAGTCTCCTGGTCAGCGGCAGCCGCAGAACTGGTGGCATCGTCTAGGAAATCAAACTCCGTGTAATCCGGCTCGCCGAGGCCGGAACTCTCGATTGGGGACTCCCGCTCCGAAAGAGGAAGCTTGGCCTGCTCTTCGGGATCTTTCATCAGCTTGGGGAGCTTCAAGTTCCGCCTAGCCCACCCGGAGGTATAATTCATGGCTTTGAGGGCACGCGATAGCCGCCGACACAGGAGCCTCTGCATCCGCTCTTGGCCCATGTTGTAGTACACGGCCATCTCCCTGCTAAAATACTCCTGGCCGGCGGGGGAGTTCATTCCCCAATCTTCAAGCATGGCGGCCACCACTTCATAGCACCAGGAGAGCCGCTCATCGGCCTTCCACCCCTCGGCCAAGAACTGCTTAACGGCCTCATCAGCGGCCTTCACAGCGGCAGCCTCGGCCTCAGCTTTTGCCTTCACGGCTTCATCGTTTTTGCGCCGTTCGGCCTCAAGCGCCCTCTGGCTCTCCTCGAGTTTGGCCAGGGCATCGTCCCTGGCTGCAGCGGCCTCGTCGGCCCTCTGTTGCAAGGCCTTGGCATCCTCCCGGAGCCGATCCAAGCAGGCTACCGCCTCATCGGCCGAGGCAGCCTTTTGCTCAAGCTCCCTCAGGCGAGCAATCTCCCAGTGCTGCCTCTTGTGGCTCTCCATGAGCATGAAGGCACCCTGTACAAAAAAGGCAAACAAAGACTCAGACAAATGATTCCACCTGGACGACGAGTAAAACGACAAATAAGAAGGAAGGGAACTTACTTGGACGAGGAGGTCCATCCCGCCTTCGTACACCTTGACGTCCCCGAGCCTCTTCAGGTAGGCCCTATCTTTGGCCGACATGGCCTGGGCCAGCACATCATGGCCGAGGACGACATCATCAAAAACACCCCCGCCGACGGGGTATTCCACCATCTTCTGGTAGGTGGCAGCGGCAATCTCCTTGCCGGCCCTCTTCGTCCGTGGCTCCTGGACGAGAGGGAGCGATTGGGCAGCATCGCTTGGAGCAGCAGTGAGATCCACAACGGGACCACTATCGTCCACACTTGGGACGGTCAGAGTGCCGACCTCAGTAGCATGGGAAGGAGACGGTGCCCTCTTCGTCTTCTTGGTGACGTTCAGGTCGGCCTCAGTCAATTTCTTCTGGCCGTCAGTTGGAGGCCTCTTCTTCTTGGACTGGGCAGGCTTCGGGGCCGCACCAGCAGTAGCCCCGCCTCCCTCGGCCGCGGCACGTCTAGCCGCCTCAGCCGCCTTTGCAGCCAACTCCTCGGCCGCCTTGGCCTTGGCTATAACCATGATTGAACGGCGATCCATGGCAAAATCTACACAAAGGAAAACGAACAGATTAGCAAGGAAAAAGAACGAATAACAAAGGAAGAAAGCCGAAGAAAGAATTACCATCGGCCTCAGCAGGAATGCCCAAATCCGGGCCGTCGGCCTCTTCGAAAGTGGTGGTCATCCTCGGCCAAAGTTGGATATCGTCCTCCTTGTCGCCATACACATGGTATCTTAAGAAGCCGAGGGCGGTCATCTTGTATTCGGTGATGTAGTCTTTCACGCTCCTCGGCCCCCCTTCCAAGAACGCCTCCACCTGAGCGTCCAAGATAGAACTCTTCGGCGGGTCGTGCAGATTGAACCTCCCGGTATGGCCGAGAGAGGGAAACTCAGTGCCATTCTCACCAAGGGATACAAAAACGAACTTGCTCTTCCACCCATGAATGGACGAAGGCAAGTCCGTGAAGCTCCTCTTCTTCGGCAGCTGTTGGAGAGTAGCATAGGCTGCACAGTTTTTGTGGCTTCCTCGGCCTATCTGATACAGATTCATGAACAGAGTCGTCGTCGGCCTGTAACCCAGCTCCTCGCAGCGGAGCAAGAACCCCACCATCAACGAGTTGCTGTTCGGCGTCAGCAAGGCCGGAGGGAGCCCCACCATGTCAAGATATTCGGTGATGAAGGGATGAAGGGGAAACCTCAGCCCCTTGGCGAAACTCATCGGGTATACTCCAAAGTATCCCGGTGGCGGATGAAGTACATGGTTCGTCGGCCTGGGTGCCCTAACCCGCCCGAACGGCCCCACGTACATCTGGGCAACCAAGTAGTTAGCCGCGCTGCTCTCCGGCTTGATCAAGAATATATTTGTGAGGTCCAGGTAAGAGAGGCCCGGCCCGCTCTTCGGCCTCCTTATTCTCTTCGGCTTATCTGCTCCCTTAACGGCAGACACCGGTCTCGGGCACGGAATAACAGCTGAAGTGGACGCTCCATCCACCACTCAGGACACAGCTGCGTCCTCACCTTTTGAAGATGAGGCGGACTCCTCGTCCTCACCTTCGTCGTCCACCGGCTCTCCGGACTTGTAAGGACTTAAATGCTGTATCTCTTCCTCGAACTCCTCAAGCACCTCATAGTCGAGTGACCTAGTGGAGGGCTGGTCGTCGTACGGATAGTACTCTTCGTCTAAGCTCTTCATCATAACAACTACTACGAGCCTAAGGGGAATAACTTAGGATCTAAGGGTGTTCAAGCGCCTAACACTAGATCACTAGCCTAGGAAGCAAAGTATGCAAAGTACAGGAGATTGCGATGAACACTAACCTTGAACACGAAGAACACGAAGAACACGAGCTTGGGAGTTTATCTCTCTAGAAATTTGGCCAGCACTTCGACAACTCAGATTGCAAATGAGGTTTCTCGTCGGAGGGGGAGGGGTATTTATAGAACCCCCCACCCAACGGTCACTACACGTGGCACCCTCCCAATGGCCACATCAACGGCCACCAATAGGAGGCCACCACGTCACCAATGGGCCAAGCCCAACCTACATATCAAGAGCCCACTGGCAAAACAGACTCTACGGCCTATACACTTGCCGGCTTCACAAGCGCCAGCAAGCGCCCACAACGGCCTATTTGCTTGCCAAGTTCACAAATGCCAACAATAAGGAGATGACAACGGCCAGGAACGTCATTAACGCCCATCGGCCCTCCGTAACGACCCTTGATGATAACTCTCTACAAGCGATCTGCGCACAAGGGTTCTCCCACAAGGTTACCTTGGCCAGAAAATCGCCATGAGGGTTGGAGTCAGGGGGACTACGGAGAGACCGCTTCGTCCAGGGACTCTAGCAACTCCTTCACCCCTCACTCTCTTCGGCCTGAAGCAGTGGGGGACTGGGGGACTACATCGGCCTCAACAAAACAAAAAGGAAAAAGGAAAAGAACAATGTAACCACAAAGCATGGCCACATCGTCCATGTCGGCCAAAGGCACATAACGACATCAGCAACGGCCAACTGGCCACCTAAGGCAAGGACACTCATCGTCCTCCGCCACAGTTAATCATAATGGGCTCTTCGGCCAAGAACACGAAAGCCAATCAGCGACGGCCAACCTCAGTGGCCTCGTCGGCCCAAACGTAAACTTCAACCATCAACGTCCAAGAAAGGGAAAGCGCGCCTTCAACGGCCACCATTGGAGCAGGACACTCATCGTCCCCAAATGAACACATCAAGAAAACAACGGCCTCCCCGTCCACAGCGAGGAGCAGGTAACGGTCAAAGCACAGAACAGGATCACCAAAATGGAAACAGCGCCAGCGCCGCAACAGCTAACGGCCTGGGAGTGCCCGCATCGGCCAAAAGCGCCAAAACACGGGAATCTACTCTCCTTCACTTCGTCTACATCTCAGCTTAGAGAGTGGGGGACTCCTGATGGAGTATATGGGTCTGAGCCCCAGGACCCACATACTCAGAAGAGCAGCAAGCACAAGGCACCGAGTGGCGCCCACGTCGGCCAAGGGACCCCCGTCGGCCGAGAAGGTGCCAACTCAGATTATGGTCCTGAAGCCAAGGAACCCGGGTGCCCTCGTCGGTCGTGCCCTCGTTGGCCGCGCCCTCGTCGGCCATGAAGACCTCACAGAACCGGATTCTACACTTACTCATTTGTACAGCCCATTAGTGCCTTTGTATTCGGCCCCGTAGCGGTCCAGTTGTAAATGAGCCTCCCAAACCCAAGGCTTGGGAGCCCAGCCCGTATTTTCTCTATAAATACTCCCCTTGGGAGTAGTTATAGGGGTTACAAAATCATTCTATTGAAGCATATTATTGCATTTCTCTCTCTAGATATACTCTATCAAATAGATTAAATACCATTTGTTAGCCATTTTTGGCATTTTATTGTAACTGGGCCTTCCAGGCCCAAGCCTGGAGGCCCAGCCCACTTTTCTCCTATAAATACTCCATATGGGATCCATGTAAAGGGTTGGAAATTCATTATATATATCACTTTATCCCTCTAGCTCTTCCTTCTCTCTAGGAGTTAATACTCCATCATTTGGTGCTTTCATTGAGAGCTAGAACAAATCAAGTGAGATCCTCCCAATCCTTTAATGGCAAGAGGCCGCCTCGGTCCTAGCTAGGGTAACATTACCCCTAGACCAGAAATTGCTTCACTCCTATTACAATTCAATTACAACCTTACAAGACCGTACGGCCGTCAAGGCGAGGTGGCACATGTGACAAAAAATCAAACTATGTGCGACAAACAAATGAGAGTGACACATCTCACATGATGCCACCCAACTAAATGGAGTCCCAACTACACCTTCCGCCAAAACAAAAGTAAAACAGGGGGCAGTCCCTCGTCCAACGACCTGGCAACCCCCAAGTACAAACCTTCAAACCAAAGTCCAGGTTCTAAACAAAAGAAAGCGGACGCCCCAAGCTATCCTTCGTCCAAACGAGACCCTCATCCTCGAGCAGCAGGTGGCTCCTCTTCGGCCAAATGTCGGCCAAGTTTCGCCACGGCCAAATGGGACCCTCATCTTCGGGTAGCAGGTGGCTTTCTCTTCGGTCAAACAAAACAAACCATCGGTCAACCTGGGAAGGAGCAGCCCCTCATCTGAGAGCCCTCACCCCAACCAGCTACGTCACAGTCCCTTCCGCCAAGGACACCACCTCATCCATCCCAACTTGGAGCCAACAGTCCACACATCGGCAAAAGAGGATCCACGTCGGCCAGGTATCATCACCAACCTTGGCGATAGAGGACCTGCGTCGGCCAGATTACGTCTTAAGAGAAGCAACACTGAAAGCAGAGCCTCGTCTCCACCAGGTGCACACCGTCGTCCGAAAACCCTCCCTCGGCCAAGGTGAGCAGAATGAAAACAACTAAGCAGGGCCCTGTCCTCAATCGGGTGACTAGCTCGATAGCCATGTCGTCGGCTAAGGGAGACTCTTCCGTCTAAGTTGAACGGAGGGTAGGCAGCGTGCTTCACCCCTCGTCCTGGGAACAGCAAGGGCCCACTCCGGCCAAGATAAACACACACATCCGCCGGCAGTGCATCATCGGCCAACACTCCGGGCTTCTGCCAAAATTCAAACCAAAGGAAAAACAGAGATAGTTACCTCCTTCATCCCGGGTCACATCGGCCTAAACAGGGTCACCTTCGGCCAGTCAGAATCAGAATCACTTCGGTCTGACAACGGAGCCCCCTGCGACGGCGGCGCACCGGCGGCCAAATCGGCGGACCCTCGGCCAGAGAAGAAACCCCCTCGTCACTGCGTCGTCCCTGGTCCCACATCGGCCAAAACAACGACTCTCAGATTTCTCAACACACCGGCCATGTAACCCAGGCCAAACAATTGTGGGAGACAGCACCCCGGCCAAACCATAAGGAACACAATGCCTCGGCCAAAACAAAATGAAGAGTAAGATGCCTCGGCCAACCCACGTTTTCACTCCTACGACAAAGGGGAAAATATCAGTGTACCCCTTTGGCCATTGTAGCGCCTCGTCGAACATAGACTCCTCGGTCAAATAGGTTCTTCGTTCGAAATCGGAGTCAACTTCGACCAGAGCAGGACCCTTGTACACCGTCGCCCCTGGCTCTCGTCGGCGTCGAATCGCGGACCCACCGGCCAAGTCATGGTCTCCCGGCCAGAGTGGGAGACCCTTGTCTAACACGCAGTCTTGATTCCCACCGGCCCTAGATCGAGGACCCGTCACCCAAATCGTGACCTCCCGTCCAGACGACGGTGTGCTAACAGCGCAACCCGCCCCCGGAGGCAGTCTTCCGCCTTGGCTTCACGATACAACAAGCTTAATTCAGGCGCAAACAAGCTTCTCATCCCGTGGGTGAAATTAGGGATTGAACAATTAAAATAGTGGGCTAACAGTATGTGGGCATGATTCTCAAAGAGCAGGCCCAATCAATTATTCTTCCAGCAGGCTGGTATTCTGAATAACACAGGCTTCGGCCCAAATACAAGTAAGTGCCACAAAAAATTTTCCTCCTATTTTATGCATTAAATATGGAGCAAAATAGCTTTGCCACTATTAAAAAAAAGGTTTTACTACTATTATTGTTGCCACCACCATTCTGGCCGGTTAAAATCCCCAAGGTGGTGCAACCGAAGCTCTAGTCTACTGAACATCTTTATTTGATGATTTGAATTATATTTGGGTCCCTCGACCTACCCTAGCCACCTTTATTTGGTGACTCGGGCATCTAAAAATGAGAGCCGCTACCGGCCGCACACGACATTATGCCTAAAAGCGGTAAACGGTACACCTCGTTCTAGGCGACGCTAATCGCGTCGCCCAAAAGCCGTTGCCATGAACAACGCACCTATTGTATTCTGCTTATTTTTTGAAAATGTAAATAGAAGATACCATGTATCGTGTCAGCAACCTTAGAGCGAAAGGCTCAGGTATGCTCAACATTGTATTTCGTATCAGCCCCCCTTAGAGCGAAAGGCTCAGGTCTAGCTGAGAGAGCACACCGTTTCGGCCCCTTAGAACGAGACGCTCGGGTATGGCTAACGGTGTCCCCAGGACGAGGGGCCCGCAAACGGCCCGCGTCTTGAAATGGGAAGCTCACCGCGTCGTCCACGGGCCAGATCGCAGGACGACCGGTCTGAAATCATGGCCGAGGTGACAAAATCCCCAAACTCGGGGTTGGGAAACGGCAGTCGTCGGATACCGACCAAAAGCCTAGCCCGCGTCATAAATAGGCGACGAGACCTCCCCGAGACCATAGGGCGATCTATACGACGCCCCACCGGCTGAGGGATTATCGACCCCCTCGACCGAAGCCTGAAAGAAGGACACTCCCCGAAATAGGGAATCGAAATAAAAGAGGGAAAGTCGAAGGGCCGCGCACTCGCCGGTCTTAAGCAAAATCCCCCCCCCCCCCCCCCCCCCCCAAAAAAAAAAAGAGGGAAGCCGAGGACCGTGCATTCGCCGGCCTCGAGCGATGAAAAATAAAATCCCCACAAATTAAGCCATATATTTGGCTAAGTACATCTCAGACGAGCGCCCAGCGCCGTCCCTCATCTTCAGATGAGCGCCCAACGTCGTCCCCCACCTCAGACGAGCGCCCAGGGGCGTCCATCATCTCAGACGAGCGCTCAGCGTCGTCCCTCATCTCAGACGAGCGCCCAGCGCCGTCCTCATCTTCACACGAGCGCCCAACGCCGTCCATCATCTCAGATGAGCACCCATCGCCGTCCCTCATCTCAGACGAGCGTCCAAGCCTAGTCCATCATCGGATCGACTCCTCCGTCCTTCTTGTTCAGTCCGGCATCATCAGCTTGCCCTTCATCACATCACGACCAGTCTCTCAGCCTCGGCGTGATTATTTATCTCAAGACCGGCCTCCTCAGCGCCGAGAGTCTTGAGCTAGCGATTGGGCTCGCCATCCCTTCCTGGATGGTGACCATCGCCTCTATATGACGGCCGGCTCATCATCGCCCCGTCATCATATTATCGGATCAGCTTCTCAGCATCACCATCCGCACATCACGACCGGCCCCTCGGTCTCGGCGTGATTATCTATCTCAAGACCGGCTTCCTCAGCGCCGAGAGTCTTGAGCTAGCGATTGGGCTCGCCATCCCTTCCTGGATGGTGACCATCGCCTCTATATGACGGCTGGCTCATCATCGCCCCATCATCATATTATTGGATCAGCTTCTCAGCATCGCCATCCGGACATCACGACCGGCCCCTCGGCCTCGGTGTGATTATCTATGTCAAGGCCGGCTTCCTCAGCGCCGAGAGTCTGGAGCCAGCGATCGGGCTCGCCATCCCTTCCCGGATGGTGACCGTCGCCTCTATATGATGGCCGGCTCATCATCGCCCCATCATCGTATTTCGGATTGGCTCCTTCTCATCGCCATCCGAACATCACGACTGGCCTATCGGCCTCGATGTGATTATTTATCTCGAGACCGGTCTTAGTCATTTCTTTACCGGATGGCGACCGTTGCATGGATCTTCGGACTGGCCCTCAGTGCTTTCGTCCTCATATCACGACTGGCCCCCTCGGCCTCGACGTGATTATCTATTTCAAGACTGGCTTCCTCAGCGCCGAGAGTCTTGAGCTAGCGATCGGGCTCACCATCCCTTCCTGGATGGTGACCGTCGCCTTTATATGACGACTGGCCCATCATGGCCTCGTCATCATTTATTGGAACGGCTCATCATCGCCGTCATCCTCACATCGCGGCAGACCCCTCGATCTCAACGCGATCTTGAGCTAGCGATTGGGCTCGCCATCCCTTCCTGGATGGTGACCATCGCCTCTATATGACGGCTAGGGATGGCAACGGGGCGGTTCGGAGTCGGGTATACCATTACCCGTACCCGCCCCGTTTGATAATATTTTTCCCCAAAACCGCCCCGTTACCCGTCGGGTATTTTTTTTATCCGCGGGTAACGGTTTTCCCCGTGGGTAACGGTTTTCCCGCGGGTAACCGTTTTATTAAAAGATAATTTTTTTTTCTTCAAAATTAGTATAAATCCTAAAATAATGATTAACTACTTATAGTTGACCACCTAAATTAAAAAAATCAAAATTAAATAGCACCATAGATAATTTTTTTTAAAACATCAAAAAAAATTATAATCGTTTGAACCTAATATTCACAAATTATATATGTCTAGATTCAAAATTATGAATCTCTTACTACATCAATGTCAAAAGATTAAGTCTTGTCTCGATAGTAAAATCTAAATATGAATCACAAACACATTTAACTTCCAAAAATTCAATAATCATACCCATCATCATTCAACATCTAAATTTAAGAACAGTAATGTATACAAGCAACATAATGAAATGAGAAGTTTTTTTCCTAAAATATTACTAATAAAAAATATATGGACCTCAATGTGACTATAAGTTACCATGGGTAAGTTTTATAGTCACTACGATATAACATTTGAATAAAATTATAAATACTAAAGTTACTAGAGTCGCATTTTCGTCCACAACTTTTATTTTGATTATAGATTTGGAATTATTTCTAAAAAATGTATTTCTAATACTATGATTTAGGTATTATTGTAGTTACTGTTTTAGAAACATCATAATTTAAATTTAAACTTGATATAAATTAGAGCAACCAATCAAAATTAATCGAATCATCCAATACACATCTACAAAATTATTAGCAATTACATAAATTAAAGCAATCTAGAGTAATATTTCCCAATATTTGAAATTTTTAAAATTGTGAAAAATTAAGAGAGTCACAATGTGAAAATTGTGTACAAAAAATCACGAAAATCAAATAATCAATATGTGAAGAAAATAAATCATGTAGAAGTTAACAAAGGAAGGATGATGAATGATATGGAAAATTAAAAATCTAAAATAGTGAACTTTGAGCACCAACTCCTCAGAAATGCAAAGGATAGCCGATTAGTTGAATATTTTTAAAAAAATTAGAGGGAATAAGTGTCATATACTAATGTACTACTATTCATATATACTTAATATATGAAATAATAAATACATAAACTATTATAATATGTAAATTATTGTGCGGGTCGGGTAATGGTGCGGGTAACCGTATCCAAATTAAACAGGGCGGGTAACGGGGCGGGTAACGGGGCGGAAGGTATAAACCCATAACCGCCCCATTATCCGTTTACATAAATCAGGTATTCTCCGCCCCGTACCCGTTACCCAGTCAAAGCGGTTTTCCCCATTTTGACCGGTTCGGTTTGGTGCGGGTATCCATCGGATCGACTTAAATTGCCATCCCTAATGATGGCCGGCTCATCATTGCCTCGTCATCATATTTCACATTGGCTCCTTTCATTGCCATCCGCGCATCACGACCGCCCCCTCGGCCTTGGCGTGACTATCTATCTCAAGACCGGCTTCCTCAGCGCCGAGAGTCTTGAGCTAGCGATCGGGCTCGCCATCCCTTCCTGGATGGTGACTGATGGAGTATATGGGTCTGAGCCCCCGGACCCACATACTCAAAAGAACAGAAAGCACAAGACACTGAGTGGTGCCCTCGTCGGCCAAGGGACCCCCGTCGGCCGGGAAGGTACCAACTCATAATATGGTCCTGAATCCAAGGAACCCGGGTGCCCTCGTCGGCCGTGCCCTCGTCGGCCACACCCTCGTCAGCCACGAAGACCTCACAGAACCGGATTTTACACTTACTCATTTGAACAGCCCATTAGTGGCTTTGTATTCGGCCCAGTAGCGGTCCAGTTGTAAATGGGCCTCCCAAGCCCAAGGCTTGGGAGCCCAGCCCGTATTTTCCCTATAAATACTTCCTCTGGAGGTAGTTATCAGGGTTACGAAATCATTCTATTGAAGCATATCATTGCACTTCTCTCTCTAGCTCTCACTTCTCTCTAGATATACTCTATCATTTGGTGCTCTCATTGAGAGCTAGAACAATCAAGTTAGCACCCTTCGTCGCTACCAAGCACAGCTAACCACTGATCATGGGAAGAACTAAATCAAACCGCAACCTCGTCAGCAAGGCCATCCCTGAGGACCAGGAGACCAGGGAGCACGAGGAGGATGCTACGGCCGACCAGGTCGGCGGAGGGGACGTCTTCCAGGAGGTCTTCAACCTCACGACGGACCTCCGCAACCAACTCAACGGCGGAGCCCCTGATGCCCGCATCGGCTTGGACAAGAAACGAGCTGAGAAGACAGACCACGCCCCGGCCCAGCCTATGGCCGCGGCCTCTCCGTCTGTGGATCCACAGGTCCAGGCCGCGCTGTCGGTCATCATCGCCAGCCTGGCCCAGAACCCCACCGTCCTCAGCGTGCTCTTGCCAAGGACCGGGGGGAACGTCACTCCACCTCCTCAGCCTCAACCTTTGGCCGTCCAGATAGGCAACGATGAGGGGGTGATGGCCCAGGACACGACGTCGTCCCACTCCCACCCCGCTTCCCCTCTTCGGCCTGGGTAGACCCCAGCGCGTGGAAAAGCCTCTGCCTTCAACAGGCTAGGTGACACGCGTCGTCGTCCGGTTTCGGAGAGGATGGCAGGACGGATTAGTGAGCGTCGGCCTAGCTCGCCAAGGGAAAGCTTGGGGTCTGTGTCCCGGACAGCGAACTAGCCCCGCCCGGACAAGGGAAAGGGGAAGCTACACGAGGACGACGTGCGCCACCAGATCAATGCGGCTCACGACGAGCGCATGAGGAACCAGCCGGGTGCCGCTGCGGCCGCCAGGGACCCCCGGGACGAGGTCATCGCCCAGCTGGAAAGAAGGTTGGCCCAGATGGAGGCCAGGCAATCGGCCAACAACCCCACGGCTGGCGCCTCCAACGACCCCGGCCTCAACGCTCTCATGAACAAGGTCAGCGCCCTGGAGAGGGAGTTGGTCGAAGGGCGAGGCGACCCCATCATCCAGGTCAGGACCAAGACCCCTTTCACCAACAGGGTGCTCTCGGCCCCCATTCCGGAGAAGTACAGGGGGAACGCCATCAAGTCCTACGATGGCCGATCAGACCCCCAGGAACACTTCAGCCGTTATCAGAACAACATGCTGATGGTGAACGCGTCAGACGAATACCTCTGCCGTTGGTTCCTCTCTACTCTTGAGGGGCCAGCGTACGACTGGTTCAACGCGCTCCCCGAGGGGAGCATTGACTCATGGCAAGACCTTGCCCTGCGCTTCCTCACCCACTTTGCCGGGAGGAAGCGCGCGAAGAAGTATTTCACCCACCTCCTCTCCGTCAAGCAGCAACATGATGAGTCCCCCCAGTCGTTCATTGATCGGTGGACGAGGGAGAC